GATATGTCACATTTTTACATTAGTGTCTAATAAACCTTATACGTCACATCCTTACATTAGTGTCTAGTAAACCTTTAATGAAACATCCTTACATTAATGTCTAGTAAACCTTTAATGTCACATCGTTACATTAATGTCTAGTAAACCTGATATGTCACATTATTACATTTAGTGTCTAGTAAACCTGATATGTCACATTCTTACATTAGTGTCTAGTAAACCTGATATGTCACATCCTTACATTAGTGTCTAGTAAACCTGATATGTCACATCCTTACATTAGTGTCTAGTAAACCTGATATGTCACATCCTTACATTAGTGTCTAATAAACCTTATATGTCACATCCTTACATTAGTGTCTAGTAAACCTGATGTGTCACATCCTTACATTAGTGTCTAGTAAACCTGATATGTCACATCCTTACATTAGTGTCTAGTAAACCTGATATGTCACATCCTTACATTAGTGTCTTATAAACCTTATGTGTCACATCCTTACATTGGTGTCTAATAAACCTGATATGTCACATCCTTACATTAGTGTCTAGTAAACCTGATATGTCACATCCTTACATTAGTGTCTAGTAAACCTTTAATGTCACATCCTTACATTAGTGTCTAGTAAACCTGATATGTCACATCCTTACATTAGTGTCTAGAAAACCTGATATGTCACATCCTTACATTAGTGTCTAGTAAACCTTATATGTCACATCCTTACATTAGTGTCTAGTAAACCTGATGTGTCACATCCTTACATTAGTGTCTAGTAAACCTGATACGTCACATCCTTACATTAGTGTCTAATAAACCTTATGTGTCACATCCTTACATTAGTGTCTAGTAAATCATATACGTCACATCCTTACATTAGTGTCTAGTAAACCTGATATGTCACATCCTTACATTAGTGTCTAGTAAACCTGATGTGTCACATCCTTACATTAGTGTCTAGCAAACCTGATACGTCACATCCTTACATTAGTGTCTAGTAAACCTGATACGTCACATCCTTACATTAGTGTCTAAAAAACCTTATGTGTCACATCCTTACATTAGTGTCTAGTAAATCATATACGTCACATCCTTACATTAGTGTCTAGTAAATCATATACGTCACATCCTTACATTAGTGTCTAATAAATCTGATGTGTCACATCCTTACATTAGTGTCTAGTAAACCTTATGTGTCACATACTTACATTAGTGTCTAATAAACATTATGCGTCACATCCTTACATTAGTGTCTAATAAACCTTATGTGTCACATCCTTACAGTGCTTTCTAATAAACCTTATGTGTCACATTCTTACATTGGAATCAGTGGTGCAGTTAATGTTTTATGAAAGAAAATGTTTTTAAAACAGTTCCTCCAGCATCACTGAAGCCTATCGGAAATATCACAGTGTTATCTGGCAACTCAGTGTTGATACCCTGTCCTGTGGTCTGTGACCCATTGCCAGCTATTGGTTGGATTTTTGGTAAGTTTCATTTTAAAGTAATTGTAGACAACATTGAGTTCACAAAATTAGTTGTCACATTTATATTTTAGCTAGCTTAAGTAAGGTTTAAATACAGTTAAATGTATTTACTGCAGTTGTAGAGGCATTTAGAGAGAGTGGCAGATAACAGAGAGACAAAGACGGCATACGCAAAAGAGTTAAATGGGAGTAGACTATGAGACAGAACAAGAAGTCGGTGGAGAGAAATTATTTAATCAGACCCACAAATACTTTGTGTCACCAACAGGAAATAAAAGGCAAGTCACAGAGCTGAATGGATGTGGATAACATCTGCAGTGACAGTCAAGGGCTCAAAAGGATGAAGAAGAGGAAGGAAAAAGATGTGTATATCAACATAGATAATGACCAAGATTGTGAAATTCACATTTTTTAAAAATTATAGACGAATGCTACATCTCTACGGTACTCTGCCACACTTTCCATTTTCATACAACAGCAAATCTTTATATTGGGCCTTCATGTGTGCCACAGGGCTCACAGTGTGGTCCTCCTGTGAAAGTAGTACACATTTACGTTTGGAATTGTTTTTACTTCCTCCTTTTGGCATCTACTGTAACCTTCTGGGATTGAAAGATTTAAAGACCATTTAACAGATGTGCCTAATTTTATTACTCACAGATGGAGAAAGACTTTCAATAAATGGATCTTTGGCATCTGCTGCAAATACACATTGGACTTTCATATTTCCTGATCTGTACATACATGATGTACAACCACATCATGCTGGGAAATACTCTTGTGTGGGTTCAAATGAGGCAGGAAATGCAACTTTATCAGGCTGGCTGATTGTCCATAGTAAGTGTGATATTCCACGCTGTAAGATATGTGATGTTTGAATATTCATATTTGTTGTTAAAAAAACCCAAAACAAAACACACTCTGTCTGAGACCATATTTTTACCTCCTAAACTGAGAAGTCTCTTTTAGCTGACAGTATCTGTGCGGTTGTGGGTACATCTCTTTTAGCTGCCAGAATCTCTGCGATTGTGGGTACGTCTCTTTTAGCTGACAGTATGCTGTTGTGGGTATATCTCTTTTAGCTGACAGTTTCTGTGCGGTTTTGGGTTTGTCTCTTTTAGCCGACAGTATGCGGTTGTGGGTATATCTCTTTTAGCTGACAGTTTCTTTGTGGTTGTGGGTTCGTCTCTTTTAGCTGACAGTATGCGGTTGTGGGTACATCTCTTTTAGCTGACAGTATCTGTGTGGTTGTGAGCTCTGAAAATCTCTATCTTGGTGGCTGAATCACTTGAAGTCAGGACATGGTTATTCAACAGGCAGCCTGCGTGCTGAATCTGGCCTGCAGAGGCCTGGCAAATGGCCTGCAGATTCTTGCCATTAGTATTGTATTAATGATCTTTTAATGCCGGGCCTTTGGCCTGTGGTGATTCCCATTTTCAGTATTTTGGCCAAAGACTAAACTGAGTTGAATAACCCTGGTTAGGACATCTCTCTTGTGCTAGTTGGATCTCTGTAGTTGCAGAGGTATCTCTGTGATGTTAACGTTTTTTTTTTTTAACTGACCAGGAAGGCTAACCTGGTCAACAAATACATGCAGAAGTCAGATGTGTTGGCTGAAAGGCGCAGATATCACAGCCATGCTGTAAACAAGCACAACACAGTTACATCTTCTGGTGAACGCAGAAGAAGAAGAAGAATTGTTTTTTTTTCTTCTTGATGCGTATCGTTCATTCAAGTTAGGAAATTACGTGGTATGATAAATAATTTCAGAGATGAGATAACTAATAAATTTCAAATGATATATTACCATGTTGGTTTACTTTTTAGGATGAGGTTTTGGAAATCTCGGGGTGGGGTGTGAGTGGGGTTAAAACTTTCAGGTGGCAGCCTGGATAGTAAATAGGGACAGACAGATGTATATTATTTCACAGATTTTTACATATCATTTGCATAAAATCCCTTTTCTTAAATTTACTAATGGTGTCCTTGTGTAAGCAACGTTGCTTTAATCATCTCCGACACTTCCCTCAGCTGTGCCAGTGATCAGCCAGGCACCTACCAACACAACCGCTGTCATTGGTGCGTCTGTGACCTTGAACTGTCAGGCAAACGGCAATCCATTGCCATCATTGCGCTGGTTATATAATGTAAGTGTTAGATTATGTTAAAGGTTAAAGAGAAGATAAACTTTGTTGCACTAGGTTTTATCCCACATGGCTCAGTCTCTCTCCCCAGAACAGCTAGCAGCCTGCCCAGAACATCACACAAAGCACGAACTCTATAGCTCCGGTCATGTTCCCAAAAAACATAAGAATGAAGCACTTCCAGAAAATACACTTAGGGTGATGGAGGAAAAGGTTAATTTTAGAGATGCTCTCAAGAATGCAGCACAAGAAATATGCAGAACTAAAGAGAAAGGGAAGTCAGGATGTAAGATATCAACATGGTGAAGTGAAGAAATAAAAGAAATAGTAAAAAAAAAAAACTTACTATTTCGGGTTAAAACACAGAACAGAAGAAAACTACACAGGGTATAGGCAAGCCAGAAAAAAACCCAATAAAGCAATAAAAACCGCCAAGAAAGATTCATGGGGAAAGTTTGGAGAAATGTTAGCAGCAGAAGAAAAAGCTGCAATAAGAAACTAGTAGAAGAAAGTAAGAGCGATAAGTAAAAGCAGTGAGGAATATAATCCAACAGAAATACTAAATGATGAAAGAGGACAACCTATTCTAGGCCCTAAAATGATTTTAGAGCGATGGAGTAACTATTTACAAAACTACTAAATTTCAAGAATAAAGATGCCAATGCTAACAATAATACTATAACAAACACAGCAGAAGAGGCGGATACACTAGAGACAGCAATTCTGTTGACAGAAGTAGAAAATGTAATAAATGTAGCAACAAGGCACAAAGTGACTGGTATTGACGACCTTCCTGCAAAAGCCATCAAAGCAGCTGGAGAAACAGGAACAAAATGGGTCAGGCAAATTTTAGAGACTGCCTGGCTAGATCAAGAAACAACATATGACTGGCACAGTTATACAGATATAGAAAAAAAAAAAAGGAGGAAGAATAAGAAAGACTGCACTAATTAAAGAGGAATATCATTATTAAGCCACACAAGGAAAATATATGCCAGATTAATTGAAAGAAGATTAAGACTATTAGTAGAAGAACAACTTTCAGAAGCCCAGATGGCTTTCAGACGTAACAGAAGCTGCACAGACGCAATATTTACTATTGACAGAAAGAGCAATAGAGTATGATAAGACATACAAAATCGCATTTATAAATCAGGAAAAAACATTTGGTAGAGTGGATAGGAATATGTTGTGGAATTGCTCAACTCTTTCAGGCCCATGAATTTTGACAGACTTGGCCCACATTAATTTCTCTTTCCCAAAAAGCAGAGGGGTGGGTGTACAAGAAAGGCTGTAGAGATTGTAATATACTTCTAATCCCTATAAAAGAATATACTTTTTAAAAGAGAAATGAATGTACTTTTTGAATCTGATGATAAGTGTTTGTTTGATTTTGTTATAGCTAGTGGGAAAGAAGAATTCAGCAAGTGTTAATTTCACAAGGACAACATTTCACACAAAAAATTCTTCACTTGCCATGGTTTTGCAGCCACAAGAGTAGTAAATATCCAAATTTGAGAACAAAACTTCAAAGTTTGTTCAATTTTCTAATATATTCCAAAGTTATGATAACTTTCTGGGTTAGTTTAGCACTCAGGGGCTCTTAGTTCTCACCAAGTGCTAAGCAAAATTTCAGAGAAAAAATGGCAGAACAATGAGCCATTACACACACGCTATTTACTATTTACTTTGTACAGTTATTTACAGACTGTAGCTGCAATGATTTCAATATAACTTAGCCATAGTATAGTATACTGTCTCTTTGTTTAGAGCACTTTCCTTCTCTTACACCATTAATACGGTAGTATGGGACATTGTCTGTGTAATAAGCTTATCAGAATCGCTAGATTCCAAACAGCTGATCGCTCAGCTTCACTGGTGAAAATTCACCATCCGAATAACTTTCAGAAAAATTTATATTATCATTATCACAATTAAAAACATCTGACTAAAACAATTTCAGAGCTTCAGCTGCAGAAAGACACATTCTGCGACCTGTACTTGTTGTTGGAACATTAGTATTCATGGCACTCAAAAACGAACTAAGGAAATAAAATGTTGAAAAAAATGTCGCTGTTTTTTATCTCAAATTATCCATGTGTGGTTTAGTCCAGGAAATGAAACTAAAAGGATTTCTAAAGAGTGACTTTCCCTGAATAGTTTAATTGTACCTCCAAACATTAGAAACTAGTAGGAAGTCATGTGCGAAGCAAAATGTAAGGGATACACGATTGACGATGACACCGTTGCTTGGGAAAAACGGAACTTCTCAAACAACGCTCACACCGTTGTTTGGGCCTTAAAGATTTAAGAAGATATGGAATCAGCAAACACCCAACTGAAGTGTGCAAGAGCTTATATACATCAAGTAAAAGTTGCATACGAACAAAAGCAGGTACATCGCAACCTTTTGAAGTAAATTTCAGAAGTAAGACAAGAATGTGTGCTATCTCCCCTGCTTTTTATAACATACATGGACACTATATGCAAAGAAGCAGAAAGCGAAGAAAAGAATGATATCTCAGAATTGCTATTTGCAGATGACCAAGTAATCATAGCTGAAACAGTTTACAGAACCATATAGACCAAGTCAATACTAAGTATGAGAAATATTATGTGAGGATAAGCAGAGAAATTGAGAAAACAGAGGCAATGGTAATAGGTAGACAAGAAAAAACCATATCAATTAAAGTAAATAACACAGAAATAAAATAAACGAACAAGTATCTAGGGTCAGTTTTCACCACAGATGGAAGAATGGATAAAGAAATCAACATACGATGTGCAAAAGCAAATCAGGTTATAGGATAATGAACATTCACTATCTGCTGGCTGTGTAGAACAGACAGAGTTAAAGAATTAATTAAAGAATTTTGAAACAATTAATACCGCTTGTGACGTATAGAAAGATGCCTCTGTCAACCAAAGCAAATCTCTTAAGAATGGTTATTTGGCTGATATTATGCTACCAGTGACAAACATGAACCTTTACTACAACTAATGAGCAGAAGATCGTAACAACAGAGATGAGATGTCTTAGGAGAACTGCCGGTGTGACAAGAAGAAATACAAATCAGGAATGAAGAAATTAGAAGAAGACTAGAACTGAAACCAGCCATACAGTTCATTAAAGAACAACAAATGAGATGGTTTGGCCACCTGACAAAAATGCCCTGGTACCAAATGCCGCAGAGAACCATGCTGAAGAAATATAATGAAAACAGAGCAAGGGGAAGACCACGAGTAACTTAATAGAAATGGACCCCAGCTTGTACAATGTATTGGAAAAAGCGCACAAATGATCCTTACATCTTCCTCCAACCTCGCTGAGGTCAATGGCGGAAGAGAAGAAAATGAAGAAAAAGTGTTTCAGATATGCCAAAGGGCGTGAGTCCATTTTTATTAAAACACCATTAATTTGAAAAGAATATAGATGTAAACATATTTACGTGCATGTGTAAGATGAAGATGGGTGCACACACACGTGCACATGCCCGCACATACACAAATAACATGATCTTGTGATGTGTGTATTTAATTCCTTTGTATTTGTTCTCTATAAAAAAAAAAAAAAGTCAACAACGCAGATACCCAGAAGTGTTCAAGTGAAAGATAACAGCACGTTGGTTTTATTATCGCTGGGCTGGGACAATGTTGGTGCATACACTTGTGTGTCTCAGAGTTTAGCTGGCATGTCTCAAGCCACAGCGGTAGTACAGCTCATGAGTAAGTTCCTTTCTGGGGTATGTTTATCCCCTTTGTGTGTTTCAGGGCCCCATTTTGGGGGATAGGGGATGGACACACCGTCTCCCTAACAAGCATGTCATGAAATTTGACTAATTAGAATTTATTTGTTTTAAGCAGGAGTGCTTCTGCCTGAGAGGCAAGGAACTACAAGTCTGTGCTATAAGCCAGATCTGTGAAACGGATGTGCACACTCTGGAACAAGACCAAAGTCCTGAAGTGGATGAAAAACCAGAACCTTCTGCCAGAGTTTACAGCTGGTGAATGCTAAGAAGAAGCGGAGAATGTTCTAGTCTGTTTTAGTTTAGTCATGCTTTAGCTATGTTGTTATAATCATATCATTAGTCTTACAGTTGCATCATAGTGCTAGTTAAATTGTGAACATAAGTAGCTGCTGAAGATGGGACAAATCATTTAAAGGATTGGTATAGTCCTAACATTTTATTAGTTAAGTGTTTTAGGTTTGAACTCTTTGAGTCCCACAGGGTTTAACATCAGAGTCTCAAGAGGTGGTAATACAATTTTGACATTTCACAAGTGTTACACATTAAAACAGACCATACTAATTCAACTGCCGCACAACATACACATGTACATCAAAGTGACCAGGGATTGTTGGGGAATAATATTAGAATACTGCTATACAAATAAATTGTGTTAGTAGTTAATTATTAGTAAATAAACACAGGATATGTTTAGAGAAATTAGTAAAGAGAAATAATTTTTCCACTTACAACCATGGCACTCAAGGAAAACTGTAAAATATATCCAAAATGAATCACAAATGAACATGAACCACTTAGCAGTGTATACATAAAATATAAACACAATCTGTCCATTAGATCTCATTGTAGAGATACTTTTAGAACATCAAAACAGAGCTCCTTTATTTGGTAAAGAAAAAGGACCTCAGAAAACAGTCAGTAGTCAGTCAGTCAGTCAGTCAGTCAGTCAGTCAGTCAGTCAGTAGTCAGTCAGTCAGTCAGTCAGTAGTCAGTCAGTAGTCAGTCAGTAGTCAGTCAGTCAGTCAGTCAGTCAGAAGTCAGTCAGTAGTCAGCCAGTAGTCTGTCAGTAGTTAGTCAGTAGTCAGTCAGTCAGTCAGTAGTCAGTCAGTCAGTCAGTCAGTAGTCAGTCAGTAGTTAGTCAGTAGTCAGTCAGTCAGTCAGTAGTCAGTCAGTAGTCAGTCAGTAGTCAGTCAGTCAGTAGTCAGTCAGTAGTTAGTCAGTAGTCAGTCAGTAGTTAGTCAGTAGTCAGTCAGTCAGTCAGTAGTCAGTCAGTAGTCAGTCAGTAGCATGCCCTTATGCAGAACCTTGCTCCCACAACAACCCTCTGGAAAACTTCTAGATCACAAGCAAGATGTCCTACATACAATCACCCATTTAGAGATCATCCGCTACATCCTGCACCCATCTTCTCTTTGGCCTTCCTATTCCTCTCTTCCCTACATAGCTACATAGGCAGATGCTCAAGAAAGATCGGCCCCGAGTAAAAGAGCAATTCACAGAGATGACGGTATGCTATTAACCGCAGACAAAGAGAAGAGGGAGGCTTTACTGAAGAGGTTCGTTTCACAGACAGACCACAATGATGGAGATAACAGAGATAGAGTTAGAGAAGATCTGGCAGCCATCTTAAAGAACAAACATTATGAAAACATCATACAGGTGGAAGATGTAAAACGTGTTCTGAAAAGGGCGAAAGACTCTGCATCCGGGCCTGATGTGGTTACATATTCCCATATGAAAGATATGATTGATACAGACCTGGTGGAGATGACTGCTTGTTTCCACCAGAGCATTAGGACAGAAGAGTGGATGCACAGCTACATGATTCCACTTCCTAAGCCTGACAAGAATCATTCAACACACAGCAGCTTTATGTAGTGACATTGTATGCGAGGCTCTCTGTTTTCAAACAATGTCCATACACCTTTGCAATAAAACCCCAGCCACTCTTCTTACCTCTCACCACAGACCCATTTGTAGATATTATGATGTCTCCTGGGCATGAATTGTCTTTGATCAGCTCTTGCACCGCTGACGTTGTTTCGCCAACTATCAATTACCGGCACCCTCGGTCCAAGGCATTTATCACTCTGTGCAACTCTGTTGAGGAAAGAACCTGGTCACCTCATCTCATTAACATATAATTATACACAATTGCAGATGTGTTAAGAATTAGACAAATAAAGTGTTAGACTTTATTTGTTTTAAAACTAAACTATATTATACATCTTCTATTTTGAATACACAGTTCCTCCTACAATTGAAGCCATTCACTTTCCAACAACACCAGTAAGGATGCATTCCAGATTCAACCTTTCCTGCATGGCATCTGGAATACCCGCCCCTTTAGTTAAGTGGACTCACTTTGATGAACCTATTAAGACAACACTGAATGGAAGAGTTCACTTATCAGAAATGGGGATGATACTAGTGGAGTTTGCCTGGAAAAATGACTCTGGCTTGTATGAATGTTGGGCAACTTCTAATGTTGGAACACACAAGAAGATGGTTTCCATTGTTGTTTATGGTAAGTCTTATGTACATGTAATATTGTTGTTCTTGTTCTTTTATTCACTTGAAATAGATTGTTTATATATATGTACAGTGATTTCTATATGATTTTTTCCCCTAATTTTCTTAATGATCTGTAAAGAAATTACTTTCCTCCTATTAAGAAGATGTTTCTATATAGAAGTGTCTCCTTTATTTTCCTGGGTCTCTCTCTCATACTGGCTTCCTCTAGTAATCAATCGACCCAGATCATTGTCTAAAATAGAATAGATGAGGCAACTGTCTTCCATCAACCATCACACTACTCCAAATAATAGACGACGATGATGCTGACTAATTTAAGGTTTATTCCTTCTCAGATATACAACAAAGATTCATTAGACAATCTGAGTTACGTTATCAATACAAGGATAATTTGCCCTCACTTTTGGACACACGTCACACCACCCTTGATGCTGGCCTACACGCAGTCAATGCCAGCCACAGTTAATCAGACCTGGCCATTGTTCTCAGATGTTTTTCAATGTGGAATTACCACAGTTGCTTCTTAGTCACACAGAAATTCAAGTTCCACTTCATTTCAAGCAGAACACACTTTCATTCCGAACACTCTAATTCCATCCACACTCTCTAAGGCCCAGTCGCAGACTGAACACCTTATCCACAATACCCCAGATCTCACATTCCCACATCTTTTCACCACCTACCCATGAAACCCATGCTTCTCATACTAGAGACTTTTTCAGTTCTGTCAATCAGCCGTTTCCCCACACATAATTCTCACACTAGGGACTTACCCAATTCTGTCACTCAGTCAAACCCTGACCTTCCAGCATATATACTTTTGTGTGTGTGTGTGTATATATGTGTGTGTGTGTGCGTGCACATGTGTGTGTGTGTGTGTGTTAAGTGAGACTGGGCATGTGCCAGATTGTTGAGAGTGCTGCTTCTTGTGTTGGCTTTCTGATTTACACGGACAGACAAGTTCTTGTTATATATATATATATGGTTGAGAGAGCCGTGTTGTTACATCTGTCAGCACATACAAAAATTACCCAGAATGTTTAATATCCACTATTGGATATTGTTTCCCCACAAACAAAAATGCTGTAATTATCTATGTGTATGCATCATTCTGTTATTTAATGCAGATTTGTTATCTGAAACTGATGATATCAATAATGAGGATGAGGATGAATATTATTGTTAGGATGATAACAAAAACATGGACTCTATTATTTGTCAGGTGTTTAATATAATTTTAAAACAAAGAAATATATGTGTCATTTCTTCTAATTTTTTTCTTTCAAATTATGGTGTACTCATTTCTATGCTTTTGCTTTCTTTCTTCATTTGCTTATTTCTGTTACTATTGCACCACAGACATTACTTAGTTATTGTTTTCTTCTCTTATGAATACCTGTACTTCTTTTAATTTTAATATTTTTTAGTTGGCAGATTTCCTTTTTGACTCATTAGTTCTTTTCCCCCAAAGGTTCCTAAGGGTCTCTGGTCAGGAGATAATTTTTTGATTAAAATGAACTGAAAAAACATCAACTGTTTGATTTAATTCCACCATCATCCAGGTCCGCCATCACCACCAGTGTTATTACGAGCAGTACCACTATCTTCAGAGTCAGTTTATTTGATTTGGGAATGGTCGGATCACGGAGATACTGCTGAGAGAGCTGACACTTTCCAGATTTCTTTCTGGGACAAGTAAGTGGAAGTAATTCTTCAAATAAATCATATCATCGTTAATCAAAGCAGTGTTTGCTTATTGTAAATTTGACTGAAGAAGACACATATAATAGACCTTGTGTGGGAAAAACATATGGCAATACGATTAGACAAGTGGAATTTGGAATATAAAAATGTTGCAATGTCCAATGACATTGGAGGCATATGTTTGCTACATAGTTTTTAAAATGCCTACTAGTTTATAATTTTGATACCTATGATGCAGTATGTGATGATCAAGGATCAACTTTATTGCACTGAGTTTTATCCCTTTTGGCTCAGTCTCTCTGTGTAGAATGGCACCTGCTGAGAGAGTCTTTAGCTCCAGTGATGATTCCAGGGATATCTGAAAACATTACATTTCTGAATTGAGCGATCAAGTCTGTGAAATGAGCTCATGACGTTGAGAGCAGGAGGCAAATGGCTAGTGGCTTGACCTTTTTTCCACAGACACTTTAAATTTCCTCAGGAGAAGAACTGGGAGCGTGCACTATGGGAGCATGCACTATGGAAACGTGCACTATGAAAGCATGCACTATGGGAGTGTGCACTATGGGAGCATGCACTATGGGAGTGTGCACTATGGGAGCATGCACTATGGGAGTGTGCACTATGGGAGTGTGCACTATGGGAGTGTGCACTATGGGATTGTGCACTATGGGAGTGTGCACTATGGGAGCATGCACTATGGGAGCATGCACTATGGGAGCGTGCACTATGGGAGCGTGCACTATGGGAGCATGCACTATGGGAACGTGCACTATGGAAGCATGCACTATGGGAGCGTGTACTATGGGAACATGCACTATGGGAGCATGCACTATGGAAGAGTGCTCTATGGGAGCGTGCACTATGGGAGCGTGCACTATGGGAGCATGCTCTATGGGAGCGTGCATTATGGGAGCGTGCACTATGGGAGCGTGCACTATGGGAGCATGCATTATGGGAGCGTGCACTATGGGAGCGTGCACTATGGGAGCGTGCATTATGGGAGCGTGCACTATGGGAGCGTGCACTATCCTAGAACCCGATCATTAGCCATGCCTGTGATGCGTTAAGCAGAAAACGGCAATATTTTTTTTTTTTAATTTAGAAACCACTAGTTGTAAACCCTTTGGCATGGCAACCCTTCGGCCTTGATCCCATGATAGATACTGTAAATCTGGGAAATATGTGGCTTTTCTACCTACCCACGAGCCGAGCGTGAACTCGGACCACAAGGTTGTCACCCGGTCGTCACGCTGCTGGTTTAACTAACTTAGCTAGCATGCCGGGCAAAGACAATAGACAGACAGGCAGGCAGACATGCAGACAGACAAACAGACAGACAGACTGACATGCAGGCAGGCAGGAAGGCAGACAGACATATAGATAGGTCAGTAAGTTGGTAGGCAGATTGATGGATGGATGGGTGGGTAGATGGATAGATAGAAGAACTGGGAGGCTTCACACAGCAACAGTGGCTTCTTCAGATATAATGTTCAGTTTACCCTGTTCACCATACCCCAGAAGTCATCCTTTGATTACTGCAGAAATGAAGTATTATGATTTATACACAGGCATTTCTTTTGTTGACCAGTTTTTACATTCACCCGAGGTAGAGCAAGAACAAGATGGAAAGATACCATTAGAGAAACTCTACAACAAAACAGTGTGGCTAAGGAGGCCGGAAGAGACAGAACTAAAACACGGTACCTCCCTCTGCATCCGAAGCAGAATAAGCGAAAGAAACAAGAAGTATGTACAGTGGAGTCCACTTAAGTCGAACTCGGATAAGTCGCATTTCAGTTAAGTCGACATGACCAGCTTAGTCTTGACAATTTTCTCTGTTGTCTGTGCTGTCTGGATAAATAGAAATCCTGATATGTGGAAGCATTTTCTTAGGTCCCTGCGACTTCTACTTATCAAGACTCGACTGTATATACATTATCTTGACTGTATATACTGACAATTTTAATATTTGCAGAATAACTGGAGAGCTCAGTGTGTACCCAGTTATATTTCTAAATAAGGAAACAAGAACAGAAGTGGTGGGTCTGCAGCCAGCGACAGAATATATCTTCTGTGTATCAGCGGTGAACGATGCAGGAACTGGTCCACCAAGCAATCTGATGTCTGCAGTTACTCTACAGTCTTGTAAGTATATTGCTATAAATTTCTTCTTCCAAAATGTAATAGCTCTCAAAAGTCAGTTGTGTAGCTTTTAAAGGAATTTAAATCAGTACAGGCATTTATTCGCTGTTGTGTGGCTTCACTAGGAAGTTTATATTCAGTAGTTAGCTATTTATCAATCAAGACAGAATACATGATTATAATGAGAGGGAAAGGATAAAAACATATAAATAGGTGATATGTAAATTGAAACAAATTAAACGAACAACTACTTGGGCATAATCTTCAACTTCTCCCTCATGCAAAGAGCAGTATGATATTTGGATTTAATCTCCAGAATATGCAAGTGTATTGGGAAATAAACATACAGACATACTGGTTGGCTGAGCACTACTGAGTGGCAAATTGATGCTTGACGAGATAGATGTATTTAAGTCCCCTTTGGAAGCAAGTGAACAATGCAGGAGTAACAGGTAATCATGGCCTGGAGAGGATGGTGCAGCCGGGAGTGACCACGTGATCTGCCTGACAGTCAGCACCAAGGCAGTTACTGATACCATCAGAATGGCAAATTTGCAGAGGCAGCTGAAGATGGGGACAGAGCAGTTATAGAAATATTCTGAGTACTGTGTTCTTAATTCAACTCAACCCAATCAACTAAGAGAAGAAATAAAATCCAGAATACAGTCAGGGAAAAAAGTATACTATGCCCTACAATGTCTGCTAAAGTAAAGTGTTTTACTGCATAACACCAAGACCACGATTTATAAAAAAGATAATAAAGTTGTCCTTTATGGCTCTGAATCTGGGAGTGCATTTAAACAAGATGAAGCCTTATTGCAGACTTTGAGGAACAGAGTCTTGTGATGCAGTGTGGACTAAAAATTGCAGTGAATGTGATATAAAGGAAGAATGTGTGGTGAAAAGTAGCACTGACCTGATCAATGATTCTGGTGCTCATGGGTTACTGTGAATAATTACCGCCTGTGCTTATGAGTATTGATTTAAGATGAAATGTAAGTTTATGGTCTTTAGATTTTAGTCAAATATATTTATTCCAGGTGTGTGATTTATACAAATGTGTATGCCATCCTTTGGTTTGAGTCAGATTTATTATGGAAGGTCATGTATGTGTACAGTAAAGTAAAGTAAAGGACCATATTTCATGCCTTTAGGCTTATAATGCATAAAGAGCTAGACTTTTATTTTTATAGACCAATCGGCACAAGATGGGTGATGTGATCAGCATCATGCTGGCCGCCTTTACTTTCTGGGACTGCACCCTGTACCCACTCAAGGCTGGGTCGACCTGGGAGCCAAGGTCATTTTTGAAAAAGTCTGGCTCCCCCAGGGAGTGAACCTACGACCCTCCGATCCGCGGCAAGCGTCTAGCCACTTGGCCACAGCGACTATGTATGTGTATAAATAAATTTTTTAAAATATGTGTGTATAAGTGAATTTCTGGTGGTGCGATGTTCTGTATAACCAGAGAGGGTGTGATTTTTGTATTTCAGTGGAAAGGATTCATTTTGATGCTTTATGCATTTGTTCATTGTTAAAGTTAAAGATGATCTTTATCGCACACCAGACATGATCATAAGTGCTCCAATCTCCTCCTATGTCTTCAAGTATTTTGAGGCTTACAATTCCCATTATGTTCTGGCTGATGTAATTACGGCTGGTTTTCCTGTCTCGCAGCTCCAGTTGCACTAATGGAGCTCTACAGAAGTGGAATACAATTAAATATGCCAGGCACTAAATTGTGCAGTTTTTGTTTGTTTAGTCTGTCTAATTTTCAAATGGAAAAACATTGTTTTGAAATGTATTTCTGCTAGTTTTCAGATCATAATCATTTGTTGTGGCAAGATCTGTTGTATTTGACACTGATACACCAGTGCGCACTATATATTTTACACTGATACACCAGTGTGCACTATATATTTTACCTGATACACCCGTGTGCACTATATATTTTACACTGATACACCAGTGTGTGCTATATATTTTACACTGATACACCCGTGTGCACTATATATTTTACACTGATACACCAGTGTGTGCTATATATTTTACACTGATACACCAGTATGTGCTATATATTTTAAACTGATACACCAGTGTGTGCTATATATTTTACACTGATACACTAGTGTGCGCTATATATTTTGCACTGATACATCAGTGTGCGCTATAGATTTTACACTGATACACCAGAATGTGCTATATATTTTACACTGATACACCAGTGCATGCTATATATTATGTTTTGAACACTTCTAGGGCCTTCTCCACCATCAAATCTACATGTGGCAGTAGTTTCGGCTAGTAATGTGACCTTGACTTGGGAAGTACCTTCTTCACCAAATGGCATAGTCAAGATTTATCAGCTTAGGTTCAGAAAAAGTAGTGACACTGATCAAGGCAAGTCAGCTTCACTATTTTCAGTTTTGATTAAAATAAATGTTGAGTATTTGTTCAATTACTATAAACTTATGTAAAAGGTAAAGGTAAAGTCAGGAGATGTAAACCAGCGTCATTGCACACGGTTATAAACCATAAGTGCTCTGCCACCATTACGGACAGCTGATAAGAAACTGTCTGCCTGTGGCGCTGTCCGCACGTAACTCTGTAGCTACAGCAATGTTCCTCCATTTACCCCAGAGTGTCACTCTGGTACCCATTTCCTCGAGGCTGGGTGAACCCCGGGAACCACCCGGTTTCGAACACCGACCGTGGCTGCAGTGAGTCGCAGCTGGATTTGAAAGCGAGCCTTCTATCGACTGTGCTAACGCGGCTCCCATAAAATAATGTGCAAGTCGTCTTGGCATGCCCGTTGACCCTCAAGATTTTGGCTCATAATTCTGAGTTAGGACTATAAATATCATATAGGTCAACCCCTAAACATAAGTGACTCTCAGTGACCCACAACTTTGGTCTGTTGGTAAATGAAGTTAGACTACAGTATATTATAATTCCCAATTCAGAAATGGGGAGTGTTTTTTTATTTTTTCTAGAACAGATAGAAATGGGAAATTAGCATCAGCAAAACTAGATGGAAACAACTTTTAAGAGCGTCAGCTGGCTATTGGCCAGTTTTGCTGGAAGTCACTTGGTGGTTGATTTGGTCAACATCTTGATGGCTGCCTTTACTTTCCAGGACTTTACCGTATCCATAGGTTGAGAGCTAAAGTCAGTTCTGAAAAAATCTGGCTCTAACCCCTGACCTTGGTGAGCATCTAGCCACTACACTACGGTGGTTCCCACATTTATGTACATTCTTGTAATATCTTATGTATGTAAATTGTAACAAATATTTCTCATCCTGTGTGTAGACTTCACCTACGTGAACATCACTGAGCAACTGTTTCCAAGCAACGACTTTGTGTTGTCACCACTGCTGCCTTACACAGAATATCTGGCACAAGTCCGTGCTGGCAATGTTGAGAGAGGACTTAACTTGTGGGGCAACTATTCTTCTGTTACATTCCATACATTAGCTTCTAGTAAGTACATATACCTGGTTTCTTAGATGTTAACTCTGTCAGGAATACAGGTTACAATATTTTACAAGTAGAGCAAATTGAAACAGTGTTGCCATTTTAATTTTTTTATCCCCTTTACTGCCTAAACAGTTAATGGAAAACTATGTGGTGCTTATTTTAGGAGGGTCTATTGATTCCATGTTCTCTCCCTGGAGAAGCCAGACTTTTTTCAAAAATGACCTTGGCTTACAGGTCGACCCAGCCTTGAGTGGGTACCGGGTGCAGTCCCAGGAAGTAAAGACGGCCGGCGTGATGCTGACCACATCACCCATCTTGTGCCGATTGGTCTATAAAAATATAGGTCTAGCCCTATATGCCCTATATGCCTAAAGGCGTGGAAAAGGGACCTTTACGTTTTTTTTTTATCATCCCATAGCAGTAAAGGTTAGTAATAAATTGCTGCTAGTGGTAGAGATTAATTGTAGACCAGAGCTTTGGCTAGCAAACACACCAACAACTAACTAACTAACTAGTTATGCTAATTTTGCCTGTACATGCAGTGTGTCCGTGATTATGCTGAGCAAGTGTCTGAAATCTGAATCTGAATGATTTGCATGTAGATGATCATTTCATAACAATATATCTTTAGCTTTTCTTGGGAGTTGGACAGGAGTTTGGTCTCTATAAGGGTATGGTTAGGCAATTTGCTTTGTGCTATGAGGGTCAAGGGTTCATTATCAGACACAATTTTTTTTTTTTCTGAGAGTTAGATGATACCCATGGGGAATGTGGATTGATGTCATTAAAGGCATTCTGCATCCGCTTGAAATGACAAAAGCCAGAGCTAACCATCAAACTTGGACTGCAAACTTTCTCCCAGGACATTCAATTGAAAAAAGTGGAAATTGACGATAATCATCATCATTTTGTTCATGAGTGAAGTTTCTTCAAAGATCCCTGAACACCAAGTCATTAGTTAAGGATTTCATGCTTTGTATGATGCTCTCGGCAGGAAGCCAGTTGCTCTGCAAAGAAAGACTAAGCCGGGTGGGATATAACACAGTGCAGTGATGTCGGTTTTCTCACTTTCAGTAAATTTTTGTGAGAATAAAATGCATAGAGTGAAATGTATTTGTTAAATCTCTCATTCGGCCTAAATTTAGTCAGGGTTTTTGTGAGCACTGTTGTGTCTTTATTATGCTTTTGCAATTGTCAAGAGTCATTGACTGGGTTCTGTGCATTAAGCATATCATTTGACGACATCTGAGATTTCACTTGTTGTTGCTTTGTTATAATTTAGTTGTTATCAGTAATAACTTTGGGATGAAATGACACATAGACTGCAGATCTATGATAATAGTGATAATAGAGTTGCTACTGATAATGATGACATATAAAATAGCAACAAGAGCTGACATCACAAAGCTAGCTACTATAGAACCAGACCTAAGTCAGAAAACTATATGGCTGAACTATTATTATTATATTGCTGAACTATTTCTATTTCTATGTGATTTATCATCTTCAGTGAACAAGTTTGTTTCATATCATATGTTCTCCATGTGGGTTGATAGACCACATTTGGGGGAGAGAGAGGGTGGGGGAGGTAATAGACCCACTGCCCCAATAAAAAGCATGTCATCAAGGTGACTAATCAGGGGTATTTCCTTCGAGGTCAGAGTGCATCGGCTTAAAAGGCAAGGAACCAACAGTCTGCATGTATATAAGCTAGATCTGTGAAACAGAGGTTCATGCAAATCTCAAGTTCTGGAACAAGACCAGAGTACAGAAGTGGATGAACAGCCAGAACTTTCAGCCAGAGTTTACAGCCAGTGAATGCTAAGAAGAAGCAGAAGATTTTCATATGTTAAAATGTAGCAGCATGCAGCACTGAGTTTGACATTGTTGTTATATTTCTCCTAGAACCATCCTTGCCGCCACAGTTTGTACAAGCTAGTGCTGTTGATCCGTACTCACTTAATGTCACCTGGCAGGTAATGAGAGTTTCAGAAACAATCGCATGTGTTGAGTTAAGTTGTTTCGTTAAGAGCCAACATCATAGCACCGGGGACATTCCCATAAGTGCTCCATTCCCATCTTCAGCAGCCAGTGCAGAGTTCCAGTTCTGATGATACCACTAATAGTCTGACTGCATGCTGTCTCGCTTTTTTCTTCAGCGTTGAAGTGTTAGCCGGATCCTCTGGTTACTGCTTGCTGCACTGTTGTGTGCTAACTCGGCATTTATATCAGAGGTCAGAGGGTGTGAAAGTACATATTACTATTTGTGATATGAGTGACCTAAGTGAGAAGTGACCGAGAGACTATGTGTTCATCTTAAATGACCAGTTCATCATCGTCATGTGTTTGTCCATATTAAACACGACTGACAAACACGCTAGTAAATCATACATTGGGCCGGTTGTGCGGAGAGTGGCCAGCGGGTGCTACGGAGGTGGAAGTCCAACAGTTGATTCACAACAATTCACGCCCAGGTGATCTGATTATTTATACAGATGGTTCGGTGGTGAGAGGAAAGAGAAGTGCTTGAGGGTTTGTAGCAAAAGCCAATGGAAAATTGTTAGTGCAAGACAGCCTAGTATATGACACCACAACATCTAGCATGAAAATGGAGGTAGAGGCGGTAACTGCAGCTGTCCGGTGGCTAGAGAACAAGATGCATACACATGTCGTAATTGTAACAGACTCTGAAAGCATGCTGAGAAAGGTGAAGACAGGGATGTTTTGAGCAGATTGGCAAGCTTCACTGGGAAGGTCACGGGTAGTGAGCCTACTTTTTCTCCATGCTATGCCGGTGTGGTGGGTAATGGACAGACAGATAGATTGGCGGGATCTTCACCACTGGGAGGTGAATTGTTACATTACAAGGCAGATGTGGTCAAGGCCCTTTGCGAACAAGCAACGGAATCAGTAGAGAAACAAGATTATAATGGCCTGGAGAGAATTAGGCACCTGGGTGTAACCAGAGGGTCTGGCCGGCTCACTACAGTCAGAGGAAAGGCAAGACGGACATTTAACCTGATTGTGACCAGTACCATGAGTATTGGAACTCTGCGCTGTCATGAAAAAAACAAAAATCTTCATGTTCAACCAGCTCCAGAGGAACTTTCAGCCTAAGGCAGCTCCAAGGGAGCCTTTTGGTTATATCTGTGGGCTGATGTTCTTAGGCCTATTAGTTATGACTGATTTCTTGTCCCTTAATTGTTGGCTTGGGTTTCCACTGCAGTCCAGTGGTGTCTGATGTGGATTGCTAAGAGGGCCTTGTTTTTGGTTTTTTTTGGTACTTGATTTTTATTCACTGACTGACATTCAACCCCACCAGAACATCACACTGAGCAATAAACACCTGTTGACACTTTGACACAAAGTACCACCATTCAGATTAGGATCATCCAGGGACAGGTCAAGAAACCTTGTTCAACCCATAGGCTGAGTTATATAAGGACCCCCGGCAACAGCTGGAGTGGGGCTTTAAAGCATCAAATAATTGCGTGTAAGACAATGGGACACAGGATTATGAACATTGCTTGCTTGTTGTACCCCACCAGGACATGACAGAAGCAGTAAACACCCAGTGACACAAAGTGCCACCATGCAGATGAGGATGAAGTGTGGAGAGGTCCCAGAAACCCCATTCAGCCGTTACGGCCACATTTGTAGCCCAGCTATATTCAGGGCCTCCTGCAATAGCCAGGGTGAGGACTTCAATTATCATTGTAATCATTGAATGAATGAATTTCTATCCCACTAGGACATCACACAAGCGATAAACACCAGATGACACAGAGTGCCACCATGTGGATGGGGATCACCGTGGAGAGGTCCCAGAAACCATGTTCAGACAATTGGCTATTTATGGCCTGCCTATATTGCGGCCCCTGGCAAAAGCCAGGGTGGGGCTTCAAATAACAAAAAATTTTGTCCTAAAAAGGACGAAATGCAAAGTTTGAGCGGAAAAGCTTAAAAAAAATACATGATTAATTTTCACTAATAAATGTTTCTCCTTTCTTTTTCTTTACACAGCCAATTCCTGTTTTCGCCCAAAATGGGCCAGTATTATACTACCATGTTACTTACACCAACAACGAATCACAGAGGACAGGCAGTGCAAAAGTTAATGCTTCTGGGACATCATGTTTAATAAATGGGTTATCTCCCTGGAGGTTATATTTGATAGCAGTAAGGGGAGAGAATGAAGCAGGACTGGGACCTGTCTCAGATATACAACAAGCAGTAACTCCACCTGTGGGTTAGTACAATCATTGGTTATAATATAATCTTGTGTGCTGAGTGAGTCAGAAATATTGCTACATATGTAACTGCACGTTTTAAATTACATTGCAGTATTTTGGCTATAGAAATGAGGTTGTTGGAAAAGTAATTCCTCGGACTAACAGTATACGAATAACAATGACTTATTTGCCTAAATTGATCTTTAGTTTACGTACAGTCGTCATCTCCTTGTGGGATGCAATTTTTTTGTTATGTTGAAGCCCCACCCTGGGTCTTTTACCAGGGGCTGCAATAAAGCCCGGCCATGAATATGGCCTAATGGCTGAACGCGATTTCTGGGATCTCTCCATAGGTGATCCTCATCCGCATGGTGGCACTTTGTGTCATTGGGTGTTTATTGCCTGTATGATGTCCTAGTGGGGTAAAATGTACTACTACTACTACTCATTTGCCTAAAACAGCTGGCCGCTCATCACAGCATAATCGACAATGCTTTGGAAAGTCACTCATTGCTTTCTGATACATGCAGTTACATAGCACATTTATTTTAAACATGTGGCCATATTTCTGTCTTATACCATGTATATAATAACAAATATATATGTAATGGGTGTGCTAGTATTTTTTGAAACATTGTAGGCATTGTTCACTTCAATTAATTGACATAACAACAAAATTAGTTTAAAACACCACTAATATCTGGCATCATGTGGACTAATAGACTGCAGTGGTTGGGGCATATAGAGATAATTACAGACAGAACAGAAACAAAAACTGTTAACTGGTAAAAGAGTTATTGGAAGTAGACCTTGAGGCAGACCAAGAAGAATGTGGAGAGATAATATACAGGCAGACCTACAAACGCTTGAAGTCACCAACTGGAAAGAGAGGACCAATCACAGAGATGAATGGAGGTAGATGATACTGCAGCAATGAATCTCAAGGGCTCATAATGCTAATGAAAAAGAAGAAGAAAGTGACAAAGAGAGCAAATAAAGGTGTTTGGACATCACATAAAATTAAACCCAGTTCACTGAAAAAAATTTTTTGGGAAAAAATAAACCTGTCTGACTGTGTGCAGTTCAACTTGCTTGCACCATTTTTGTGCCATATAGTTCAGTCTTTCTCTGCAAAGCGGCTGTTCGCCAACTGAGTGACTCACATGAAGCACAAAACTTTCTGGCTATACCACGACAACTCTCAGATTTCCAAAATTTTTGCACTTGTGAATCACAATCGAATCCACAACCTTCAGGTCACATATTAAATAGCTTAACCACTTCTCCATGAGACACCTTAAGAAGGAGCAGAAACTCTGGTTACAAAACTAGAGAAAGGACACAGATTGCATGGACTGATTTTATCAAATGTATGACATTTAACTACAGAATATTAACCTGGACGAGTCTTGTTGGTCACACTTGCCATCATCATGGACTGTAATTCCCATTCTTCCATATAGCAAAATAAGGTTAGTTACATATCCCTTACAGGACGTTGCAGAACCTAGACAAATTTACATCCAGTAGTTTGTCATTGCCTTCTGAACAGTCGGCTCTCTTGATACCACTTTCAAAACCAATGCAAGGCGCGTAGCCCGCAGCTGGGATTGAACTCGGCATCCCGGCATTACGAAGCTTTCCCATCGACTTAGCCACAGAGCCGACTAGCAAAATAACAAACAAAGAAATAATACAAAATAAACGTATACTATAAAAAATAAATTTAATTAACCAAAAAAAAGTTGAAAAAATAAAACAACAACAAAACATAGTTACTGAAAGGAACATAATTTCGATATTCAGAATCTTTGTAATTTAGTGAGTGAAATTGTTCAAAGTGGACACAAGAATACCCTAAGGTTGAACCAATCTGACATTCTTTTGCATCTGGGTCATCGATAGTTTTAGGCGTGCTTTCTTGTCAGTTAATTTAAATGTGCCTTTGGAGAACTGTTAAAAAAAACACACACAAAAACAACATTATAGCAGATGTGTTTAGGTAGGGATATGAGCACTTATGGACTGGATGGTAGGATGTACACTGACAATGGTGTGTTGACTGACTAACTGACACCTAAAAGAGTGTTTACAGGCACAAGGATAGACTTGATAATGCTCAGTTTTTATCCCACCTGGAATAAAAGCTGGTAGTCTATGAGAGTTTTGAACAAAGCATCAACTTCCTGGCTCTCGCAACAACCACTAGGGATCTCCAAAACACTCACCTTCATAAACAGAAGGCTGGAGTTCAAAACTAACCCCCTTAATTTCTAGGCATTATATCTCAAACAGGAGTAATTTAAAAACAGTTTATTGTTTTTGAAACTTTCAGTAACTATTAACTTCCACTGTTTCAAGACTGTATCACTGATAACACTAGATTTTTTTTTTTAAACTATAGACTGTGTTCTTAACATTTTAAGTAATGTTGACTAGCCTGTTTCAAGACTGAGTCAGTGATGCAGCAGATTTTTTTTTTTTTAATTAATTTTGTAGACTGTGTTCTTTAAACTGTAAGTACAGTTGACTAGCCTGTTTAAAGACTGAGTCACTGATATAGTAGACTTTATACAGTTAATAAACCCAGTTCCAAGATATTGGGTCAACGACAGGAGTAGGCTAATATTGTTTTCTTAAACTTTCAGCACCAGTAGCTTTCCCTGACAATTTCCAAGCGTCAGCAAGCTCCGCTTCAAGTCTGAAACTGTCATGGAAGGTAGGAACTGCTTCAGGTGTTTTACTGTTCGATATAAATGTGATGCTGAAAGATGTGTCAGAAATAGATGATCTTTGCATCATGAAGTTTGTGCCTGGACAAATGTCAGCCCAGAAATAGGTGATCTTTGCATCATGAAGTTTTTGCTTGGAAAAATATCAGTGCAGAAATAGGTGATCTTTGCATCATGAAGTTTTTGCTTGGAAAAATATCAGTGCAGAAATAGGTGATCTTTGCATCATGAAGTTTTTGCTTGGAAAAATATCAGTGCAGAAATAGGTGATCTTTGCATCATGAAGTTTTTGCTTGGAAAAATATCAGTGCAGAAATAGGTGATCTTTGCATCATGAAGTTTATGCTTGGACAGATGTCAGTGCAGAAATAGGTGATCTTTGCAACATGAAGTTTGTGCCTGGACAAATGTCAGCACAGAAATAGGTGATCTTTGCATCACGAAGTTTATGCCTAGAAAAATGTCAGCACAGAAATAGGTGATCTTTGCAACATGAAGTTTGTGCCTGGACAAATGTCAGTCCAGAAATGTGATCTTGCACAGCAACAACAACAAAAAAGATGAACGTTGCTGAAGCATTATTGTGCCTTAATAATAAATATCTGGAAACAAAGGGTAACCACTCTGAGCACCTCCAATAGTTAAAATATAAATTAAAGTAACAGTCAGGCATGTACTCCGAGACATTTGGTTTTATAGACTAACAGACCTTTGATGAGTGTTGTGGTTAACGTTAACATTATGTCAGCCACCTCTACTTCCCAACACATTGCTGTACCATTTTAGGCTGAGTTAACTTGGGAGCCAAGGCCAGTTTTGAAATAAACCCACCTTGAAGCAGTCAAACCCAAGACCTTTGCCTCTCAGGTAAGCATCTAGCCACTAGGCCAATAGGGAGTCCCCGTGGCATAGCGGCTATACGCTCACGTGCGTATTGGAAGGTCATTGGTTCGCTCATTGTTTTTTTTTCAAAAAATGACCTTGGCTCCCAGGTTGACCCAGCCTTGAGTGGGAACCGGGTGCGGTCCCGGGAAATAAAGGTGGCCGGCGTGATGCTGACCACAACACCCATCTTGTGCCTATTGGTCTATAAAAATATAGGTCTAGCCCTATATGCCCTATGCACGAAAAGGCGTGGAAAAGGGACCTTTACTTACTTTCCTTACTATGTCAACATGGCTGCAATATTTTCTATATACGTTTCATTGATTTTATATAATTTCCCCCCTAAGGCTATCCAACGTGGGCTAGTAACGTGCAATATAACAGCCTACATTGTGGAGTTTCGACAGCAAGGCCAGTCAGCATGGCTTCAAGTATCAGTTCCGTCCAGTGCCTCTGCACCTTCATTTACCTATTTACTTGAGTAAGTTTCATGCATTTCATATGTTCTGAGTTCAATCTGCATTATAGGTAGAATGTTTAATGTGTGCTGTCTTGGCAGTAAAGGTGGCTGCAGTACACCCACTCATGCCTTTGAGAATATAACTGGGTAATTTCCTAATCTCTCTGATGCCACTGTTCCAATGCCAGAAGAAAGGAGTAATTAATTACCTGCCTTGAAAATCGAGACAAGGTGCTTGAGAACTGCAAAATAAATTGTACAACACATTCACTAACCTAGAGGCCACAGAGCTATACAGGTTTAAGATATTATCTAATGGATACCGCAGCCATGTGTTACTGGGAGTGCATAAGGAAAGCAACAAATGTTAACATTGTAACATACCATGCATGTCATACAAGACAGTGAAGGAAGGTTGACATTAGATTGGCTACCTTATCTTGTAGAACACTTAAGCTGCATAATGCACCCAATCATAAAGTCTGTTTTGGTAGAAACGTTTGGTTGTATTTGTGTACATTTTCTCCATTTCCTCGATTAAGAGCTTCCTAGTATCAGTTTTTGCTTTATTTAGCATTTATTGAAGTCTACAAAGGGCTTGGCAAGAATTGTTTCATGACCTATGTTCCAGTGGGAAATTTTAAAACAACAGAAGAGATGAAACAATACACCTCTAGTGCTGACAGAGACAATTGATCATTAAATATTGAACTTATCCCCTTGCAAAGTTCAAACAACAGTAACATCAAAGAAGGGTAATATTGGCATTTATTGGGTAGAGAATAGACAACTGGAAGATCTGGTTTTCACAGATTAAATTGTTCTGGTAAGTAAAAATAACAAAGACATGCAAAGAAAATTATTGACTTGTCCTCTACAGCATCAAAAATGGGACTACAACTAAGTTGTGAGAAAACAAATATATGAAAGATAACAACAACAGATCCTGTAGATGTCATGGTAGAGAAAAAACCAATAAAAGTAATGGTTTCAGCACAAGGTGTGTTCTGGTTATATTTTGAGGTTTTTCAGTATGTGTCCCATCCAGTGCCAGCATCTTTTCCTCATCTCATGATTTATGGAATTTATTTAGTTCTTTCCTAAAGCTCTATATAAAACCATTGTGTCATACCATTTAATTCTTTCTTCTTCTTCTTCTTCTTCTTCTCTTCCACCATTTACCTCAGCGAAGTGTTGGGTGGAGATGTAAGGATTGATTGTGCGTTCTTTCCGGTGCATTGCGCCTTTCTGTTAGGTTTCTTTTGATAGTGTCTCTCCATCTCTTGCATGGTCTTCCCCTTTCTCTGTATTCATTATATTTCTTTAGCATGGCTCTCTGTGGCATTTGGTACCAGGGCATTCTCATCAGGTGGCCAAACCATCTTTTGTGTGTGTTCTTTAATGAATTGTATGACTGGTTTCAGTCCTAGTCTTCTTCTAATTTCTTAATTCCTGATTTTATCTCTTCTCGTCCCACCGGCAGCTCTCCTAAGACATCTCATCTCTGTTGTTACGATCTTCCGCTCATTAGTTATAGAAAGGGTCCATGTTTGGCACTATTAGCACAATATCGGCCAAAAAACCATTCTTATAAGATTTGCTTTGGTTGCCAGAGGTATCTTTCTATACGTTACAAGCTGTATTATTTTTCCATACTTCTTTAATTAATTCTTTAATTCTGTCTGTTCTACATAGCCACCAGATAGTGAATGTTGATAAAGAGAAAGCAGTTGTTTTTAGTTAAATGAGTTGTGTTGAGTTGAGTCAAATATTGACATCACACCACTCAAGGCATTCCCCGTGCGTACTCCGCCCTCATCCTCAGCACTCAGCGCAGAGTTCCAGTACTAATGGAATCGGTCCTAATCTGGTTGTATGTCCAATCTTGCCTTTCCCCTGAGTGTAGAGAGCCGGCCAGACCCCCTGGTTACACCCAGGTGTCTCATCCTCTCCAGGCCACAATAATCTTGTTTCACTTCTGACTCTGTTGCTTGTTCCCAAAGGGCCCTGACCACATTTGCCTTGTTAAGTATCAATTCACCACCCAGTGGTGCAGATCCAGCCAATCTGTCTGCCTGTTCATTGCACACCACGCCGGCATAGCCTGGAGAAAAGATCTAAAGAATGCTCACTACTCATGCTCTTCCCAGTTATTTTTTACTTAAATCTATAATGGTAGTCTGGTAGTCTGGTAGTCTGGTAGTCTAGTAGTCTGGTAGTCTGATAGTCTGGTAGTCTGGTAGTCTGGTAGTCTGGTAGTCTGGTAGTCTGGTAGTCTGGTAGTCTGGTAGTCTGGTAGTCTGGTAGTCTGGTAGTCTGGTAGTCTGGTAGTCTGGTAGTCTGGTAGTCTGGTAGTCTGGTAGTCTGGTAGTCTGGTAGTCTGGTAGTCTGGTAGTCTGGTAGTCTGGTAGTCTGGTAGTCTGGTAGTCTGGTAGTCTGGTAGACTGGTAGCCTGGTAGCCTGGTAGCCTGGTAGCCTGGTAGTCTGGTAGTCTGGTAGTCTGGTAGTCTGTTATGTCTGGTAGTCTGGTAGTCTGGTAGTCTGGTAGTCTGGTAGTCTGGTAGTCTGGTAGTCTGGTAGTCTGGTAGTCTGGTAGTCTGGTAGTCTGGTAGCCTGGTAGCCTGGTAGTCTGGTAGTCTGGTAGTCTGGTAGTCTGGTAGTCTGGTAGTCTGGTAGTCTGGTAGTCTGGTAGTCTGGTAGTCTGGTAGTCTGGTAGTCTGGTAGTCTGGTAGTCTGGTAGCCTGGTAGCCTGGTAGCCTGGTAGCCTGGTAGCCTGGTAGCCTGGTAGCCTGGTAGCCTGGTAGCCTGGTAGCCTGGTAGCCTGGTAGCCTGGTAGCCTGGTAGCCTGGTAGTCTGGTAGTCTGGTAGTCTGGTAGTCTGGTAGTCTGGTAGCCTGGTAGCCTGGTAGCCTGGTAGCCTGGTAGCCTGGTAGCCTGGTAGCCTGGTAGTCTGGTAGTCTGGTAGTCTGGTAGCCTGGTAGTCTGGTAGTCTGGTAGTCTGTTAGTCTGTTAGTCTGTTAGTCTGGTAGTCTGGTAGTCTGGTAGTCTGGTAGTCTGGTAGTCTTAGTTTCAGCTTCATAGCAAACGGGTCACCCCATCTTTGCTCCGCTCCTGTGCCAATAAAAAACACACAGAATGTTTATCACAGTCCCTTGTGGAAAGATTGACAGACTGCTGTCTCAGCATATCTAGCATACACACGCATTAAAGCATACGGTAGCCATCTGAAGTGCTAACACAAACAGTCCGACATTAGAAATGCAGTTCATCATTGATGGTAGCAGAAGTCACCAACAGATCAGCAGTTGCACACTCGATCAATTTTAATCACATACGGGCACCACCAACATTGCGACGACAGGCATCGCGCCATTTTCTGAATCGACAATTCACACCACCAGGTTGGTCACAGTAGAAAAAACATTCCAAATGAAATCTGCAGCTCACAGTGTCACGCCATGCATTAAACTCAGAAGCTGGGCGACAAAACTAAATCCAGTCTACAAATGGAGCAAAAATGCATTGGCCACCATCCGGCAGAAGCAAAAACTTTGCCTCGGCTCCAAACAGTGCCCCTGCCTAGCGTCCATTTTGACCACACACACAAATTTATAATTTGTGTATGCAGATCCTTGCTGCCGTGGACTTGGTATGAGTGTAGCGTTGCTGCCTTCACAAGCACAGTCACCCCAGGAATGGGACCCTTCACCGATGTTATTGTTATCAGAACTTTGCAAGGAGGTGAGTTCAGTGTTTTACTGATTGGTTAATTGGTGGGTGGAGTGTTTGCTGATTTGCTGAGACTGACATGTGAAATTTTTGTTTATTGGTTAACTCCTGTGTGAAGTGATTGCTTATTGGTTGACTGTGTGGACTGATTGCCTGTTGGTTAATAATAGGTAAAGCTGAGTTGAGTGAAGAACCAACATCACAGCACCCAGGACATACCCATGGCATAATAGAATAAAGCCGCACATAGCAGAACAAAGTAGAGCATAATGTATAAAGTAGGACATAATTTTTTTTTTAATGTAGAACATAACAGAATAACCTTAGACATAGAAGAACAAAGTAGCACATCATAAAATAAAGTTGGACATAGCAGAACAAAGTAGTACATAATAGAATGAAGTAGGACATAGAGAAAAAAGCAGGGCGTAATAGAATAAAGTGGGACAAGCAGAACAAAGAAAAGCATAATAGTATAAAATAGGACATTGCAGAAAAATGTAGAGCATAATAGAATAACACAGGAAATAGCAGAACAAAGTAGCATATAATAGAATAAGATGGAAGATAGAACACAGTAAGAGCATTGTTGAATAGAGTGGGACATAGCAGAACAGGGTAGAGCACAATAGAACAAAGCGGGACACAGCAGGAAATCATAGAGAACAAAGTAAAGCATAAAAGATTAGAGGTGACATAGCAAAACAAATTATAGCATAACAGAATAAAATGGGGCATAGCAGAACAAAGTTGAGCTTAGCAAAATGAGTTAACACACATGTCATAAGTTAGAATTAAAGCTTAGATCCAGTCTTAGAAAATGCAAAGTTATGTTTCAATTGATTTTTTTCCCAGTATCCAGCGCAGTATCATTTTTCAGTTATTCATCAAATGTCACTGTCATTTTGCTGTCATGGAAGCCACCTAAAGATATTCGAGGTGTCCTGAGTGGATACAGGGTTGTGTATGAAGCACTTAATAATGCCAGTACAGCAGATGGTAAGAAAAGCTGTTTTGTCCATTGATTTTGAAAGTAAAAATAAAGTAAAGGACCCTTTTCCACACTTTAGGCGTATTGGGCATATAGGGCTAGACCTATATTTCTATAGACCAGTCGGCACAAGATGGGTGATGTGGTCAGCATCACGCCGGCCGCCTCTACTTCCCGGGACTGCACCCGGTACCCACTCAAGGCTGGGTCGACCTGGGAGCCAAGGGATATTGAAAGACTGAAGAATCTTCTCTCACTGTCTTCCGAAAGCTCTTGTTTCCCTTGTTGTTTCCTCTTGTTAATCCATTTAGGAATAGAAGGACTTATGAAAAAGTTTGATTACACCCAGTTTTGAATGTGATAGTGTTCACATTTGATATCAAAGGGTTTCCAGTCATAACATTATTTTATTTTTGTAATATAAAGATTACGCATTTTTTGAAAATAATATTTCCTGTCATGAAATTTGTTATTATAGAGTTTTAAATCATAAAATTGTCAGCAGTTAGTTTTGGATTATACATTTACTGAAACAAATATTTAAGTAACGATTTACATACACAGTCATGATTTTGTGTTGGAACAGGTGTCGTCCATGGTTGTGAAAGTGTTAAGTATGTCCAGTGTGTTATTATTTTGCTGACAGTCATCATCAGCTAGTAACTTGCCAACTGCATCTTGTGATCTCCAACAGCACGTGTGTTTTTAGCTGACAGTTTTCTCGTCATCACAATAGGCTGTGAAGATTCTTCATTTGTTGTCTTCCTCTGTATCTTTATTCTGCAAATCTGTCTAGTTGTTTCAAGGAGTTCTGGGTTTTCTCTTCTGATAATGTTTAAAATAACACAACTCTTTCTGATGTTTGCAATAAGTTCACATCTAAGACTCATTCTTTAACATTTAGATGACTCATTTTCCCCGTGTGGGTTCCGGGGCCCTGTTATAGAGAAAACAAGAATAGACCCACTGCCTACCCAAAAGCAGGCCATAAGAGTCGACTAATTGGGAACTTTTTTCAAAGTGAAAGCGCATCTGCTTGAGAGGCAAAGAACCAGCAGTCTGCATACAAATGAGTCAGATCTATAAAACAGATGCACACACAACACTCAGATTCTGGAACAAGACTGCAATCCAGAAGTGGATAAACAACCAGAACTTTTCGCTGGAGTTCACAGCTGGTGAATGCCCAGAAGAAGAAGAAGATGACTCATTTTGCTGTCCAATTAATTCTAAGCATTCTTCTTCAAAACAACACTTCTGAAACCTAAAAAACTGAGTTTTTGTTTATCATGTAACTTCATGTGAGTAATGTACTGTCAAGTAATGTTTAGTTTGTTTTTTATCTTTTGTCCAATGTTTTCATAGGAGCCTGTAATAATCTGTGCAGAAGTGAATTGAGCTGTGTTAAACACCAACATCATGTTTCTAGAAACATTGCATGAGTGTTTCATTCTATCTGCAGCGATCCAGCACAGAGTTCCAGTTATGATGGTGCTAGTAGCTGTCTGGTCGTATTTGTGAGTGTTGGTCAGATCCCCTGGTCACTTCCATTCTCTTCAGACCATGATGATCTGCTTGTGGCTCCTCCACACTGTTCACTCGCTCCTGAAAGGCCTTGATAACATATATCTTGTCTTGCTTCATTTTATCACCAAGCTTTGCAGCACCAGCCAGTCTGTCTGCCTGTTTATTTCAAAACCAGCCTGACCTGGAAACAATCCAAAGGGCACTAACTGATATGTTCAGTCAAAATCTGCCTTTTGGTAACACCATTCACTGCTTTTGTGTATGTAGATTTTGTTGGTTTCCAAACTCTGTTAATATCTGACAACTCAGGACTTATAAGTAGTGAAGGTACCTTTTCATTTGTTGAGGCACATCAGGCATGCAGTTCTAGACCACATTTTAACAGTCCAATCTGCACTTTATGGGTGATGCCATGAACACCACTCTGCTCACCTTTACTTACTTGGACATTTCCTGCTGTCAGTTTTGGGCCGGGTTGACTGGATGACCATGTCAGTTTTGGGCCAGGTTGACTGGATGACCATGTCAGTTTTAAAAATCTGACTTATTACAGATTCAGACCAATAGGCTGGCTGGGAAGCATGCCAGCCACTGCACCACTGCGGCTTCCAGTAAAGTCTACATATGAAATAATTGATGCGTACTATAACCTGATTTGTTTTCATTATACAGTGTACAGTGTACATATAATGAGAACTATCATGGTTATGCCAGGAATTGGGGGTTACTGGTCAGGACATAAACAACGTACGTTACGCTGATGACACTGTCTTGCTAGCGACAGGTCAAAAAGAACTACAGGAATTGGTAGATGCAGTGGTGGTAGAAAGTGATAAAATGGGCCCCAAGTTTGAATAATGGAAAGACATAAGTAATGGTGAATTTCCAAATAAAAGAATAGTTCCTAAGTGTATAATAAAAGTCAGAGGTGTTATTTTAGGACAAGTACAAAAATTTAAGTAGCTAGATAAATGGATAACATCTGATAGAAGATGTGTCACAGAGATAAAGAATGGAATAGGACAGGCAAAAACTACATTTTACAAAAAGAAGAACACTTTATGCAATACATCCATTTCATTGGGGGTTAGGAAAAGAATTCTCGCATGCCAAATAGAGCCAGTTTTAGGATACGGATGTGAAGCCTGGACAATTAATAAACAAGCCGAACTATATCTTAAGACCAAGGAGATTTAGTTTTACAGAAGAATCCTTAGAATTCCTTGAACAGCTAAGAAGAGCAAACCAGATGTTTTGAAAGACGTGAATGCTCGAAGACAACTTATCACAAACATCAGAAGAGATAGTCATAATTTGTTACCGTGTTATGAGAAGATGGATAATGGAAAATGTTGTGACCACTGGAAAGATCTGTGGAAAGAGAGACAGAGGAAGACAATGGGAGAAGATTCTTGACATGGCATGGCATGGAGGGGTGTCAACAGACAAAAATGATACACTCAGTTGTAGATTGTGGAGAAGCATGATCGCCCATGCCAGTTGTCAAGGCACCTGATGATTATGATGAAATTAAATGGTTTGTCTCTCAACTATTGCAGACATGGAATTGACAACGACATCCGAGGCAGCAGTTTTACAGAACCTGTTGCCTGACACAGTCTACAACATCAGTGTGGCAGCTGGAAACGCTGCAGGTTGGGGAGAAGCTCTGGTTGTATTGATTCACACATGTAAGTACTATGCAGTATGTTAAGTTGCCCGGCAAGTTGGGGGAGGGAGAGGGAGAGGGGGGGGGGGGAAGTCTGTTTGTGTTGATTCACACATTTAAGTTTGACCGAAGAAGTAACAAGTAACAACACTTTTAAAAACCAGGGAAAGGTCAAAGGCAAGAGAGCAAGAGGTGGGCAACAGTACAGGTGGGTTCACAACATCAAGGGATGGACGGGCAGCAGTCTGAGAGAGTGAACAACCAGGACAAGAGACAGAGCGTGTGGGAGATCCAGTGAGGCCAACCTTCACTGTAGACTCAGCACCTGAGTGATTGAGGCTGGAAACACAGTTTAAACCAAACGTGCTTCCCCAGTGACTTTGTGAGTGTGCTCAGGAAGGTAGAGATGGGCTGGGTCCAAAGACAGTTGTCGGTATCTGTTGACACAGACGAGGCTGAGTAAGATTAGTTAGTTACTTAGTTAGTTAGTTAGTCAACAGATTATCCTCACTGCACAGTGAACCATTCAGTCCAAAAGTGCTCGGATCCCCTCCTCAGTAAATCCTGCAGCGTGTAGCAGCTCACAACACCAGTTCTGTGTTGGTTTCTTATTCTTCTCTGGCTTCCTTCATAGTGCTCTTGTCTGGCCACACCCTTTTTAACTTGTTGTTCTTGCAGTCTGGTCATTGCAGATTCACAGTTATCACTTGGTTCTCGCAAAAGTCTTACTTCTCGTAGTGCATTCAGAATATCAGCATGATCCATGGATTGTCCGCCCTCCCCAGCAGCTTTACCCTCAGGCTGATCAGCTTGCTCATTTCCTTGCACGCTTGCGTGCCCTAGCATAAAAATTAAACTAATATTTGTCAGCCTGGACCACTTTAGAGACTCCACCCACTGTTTTTGGATCCAGCCCTTCTCTATCTTCCAGAGCATACTTATTGAGTCAGTGAGAAAGCATACATGGGAAAAGCTCTGTGTCTTTGCCCTTGTTATTGCTTTGGTCATGCCATGACCTCCATAGTCAGACTACTTGTGGTCAGTGCAACAGCATCAGAGTTGTGCTTCACAATGCTAACTCCAGCTTGCGCAGTAAAAGCCCAAGAGCTTCTCACATGGAGAATTACTGACTCATCTGTGTAAATGATAGTATCCCCTGTAGAGAATTCTCGAAAATCAAAGTCTGCACTTCTGCCTCAACAGCGGCGGGATTTTCTTGTCTGCATTTTCTGTCTAGAGGGATGCACACACAAAAGATTGTTTGTTCTTGCACCCATTCCTCACCAGGTTCTATGTCCTCAAGTGAAAACACCTGCTGAATGGTCGAGTCATTGTGGTGTTGATTCATACAAGAAAGTACTGACACAACATCCTGAGCTTTCTCACTTTGGGGTGTGAGGGGGGGTCATTATGGGGGTTGATTCATACAAGCACTGATGCAACATGCAGAGTTGTCCAACTTTAAGGTGGTTGGGGGAGGGGGGGTAGGGGGGGGGGGGTTCATTGTGGGGTTGATTCCTACATTTAAGGACTGATGCAGCATGTGGATTTGTTTAACTTTTGGTTAGGGGGGGGGGGGGGGAGGGAGGGAGGGGGGCTTTGTTGGGTTGATTCATACATTAAGTACTGGTGCAACTTGTTGAGTTGTTCACATCCTTAACTTTTGCAGTACCAGATATTTTTTACTGAAATACTGTCTAACCTGGGAGCCACCATAACGTAGTTGCTAGAAGCTCACCTATGGATTGGAAAGTCATAGGTTCAGGTCCTGATGAAGCTGAACTTTTTTTTACAATAAATGACCTTGGCTCCCAGGGGGCCAGGAAGTAAAGGCGGCCTGTGGGATGTTGACCACATCATGCACGGAATTATACAGTGTTGGTCTGGCCCTGTATGCCCAATATACTTGAAGGCGTGGACAAGGGTCTTTGACTTTCTAACCTGAAGTTATTGTACTCTGAAGTAACAGTGTTTAGTCGACTCAAGTTATTGTACTCTGAAGTAACAGTGTTTAGTCTACTGAAGTTATTGTACTCTGAAGTAACAGTGTTTAGTCTACTGAAGTTATTGTACTCTGAAGTAACAGTGTTTAGTCTACTCAAGTTATTGTACTCTGAAGTAACAGTGTTTAGTCTACTGAAGTTATTGTACTCTGAAGTAACAGTGTTTAGTCGACTCAAGTTATTGTACTCTGAAGTAACAGTGTTTAGTCTACTGAAGTTATTGTACTCTGAAGTAACAGTGTTTAGTCTACTGAAGTTATTGTACTCTGAAGTAACAGTGTTTAGTCGACTCAAGTTATTGTACTCTGAAGTAACAGTGTTTAGTCTACTGAAGTTATTGTACTCTGAAGTAACAGTGTTTAGTCTACTGAAGTTATTGTACTCTGAAGTAACAGTGTTTAGTCGACTGAAGTTATTGTACTCTGAAGAAACAGTGTTTAGTCTACTGAAGTTATTGTACTCTGAAGTAACAGTGTTTAGTCTACTGAAGTTATTGTACTCTGAAGTAACAGTGTTTTGTCGACTGAAGTTATTGTACTCTGAAGTAACAGTGTTTAGCTTGCTGAAGTTATTGTACTCTGAAGTAACAGTGTTTAGTCTACTGAAGTTATTGTACTCTGAAGTAACAGTGTTTAGTCTACTGAAGTTATTGTACTCTGAAGTAACAGTGTTTAGTCTACTGAAGTTATTGTACTCTGAAGTAACAGTGTTTAGTCTACTGAAGTTATTGTACTCTGAAGTAACAGTGTTTAGTCGACTGAAGTTATTGTACTCTGAAGTAACAGTGTTTAGTCGACTGAAGTTATTGTACTCTGAAGTAACAGTGTTTAGTCTACTGAAGTTATTGTACTCTGAAGTAACAGTGTTTAGTCTACTGAAGTTATTGTACTCTGAAGTAACAGTGTTTAGTCTACTGAAGTTATTGTACTCTGAAGTAACAGTGTTTAGTCTGCTGAAGTTATTGTACTCTGAAGTAACAGTGTTTTGTCTACTGAAGTTATTGTACTCTGAAGTAACAGTGTTTAGTCTGCTGAAGTTATTGTACTCTGAAGTAACAGTGTTTAGTCTACTGAAGTTATTGTACTCTGAAGTAACAGTGTTTAGTCTGCTGAAGTTATTGTACTCTGAAGTAACAGTATTTAGTCTACTGAAGTTATTGTACTCTGAAGTAACAGTGTTTAGTCTGCTGAAGTTATTGTACTCTGAAGTAACAGTGTTTAGTCTACAGAAGTTATTGTACTCTGAAGTAACAGTGTTTAGTCTACTGAAGTTATTGTACTCTGAAGTAACAGTGTTTAGTCTGCTGAAGTTATTGTACTCTGAAGTAACAGTGTTTAGTCTACTGAAGTTATTGTACTCTGAAGTAACAGTGTTTAGTCTACTGAAGTTATTGTACTCTGAAGTAACAGTGTTTAAGTCTAAGGGATTTGCAAATTACTGCTTTAGGACAAAAGAACGTGTGGTAACAATTGGATCAAAATGAATCAACTCAACAGATGAATGGGTTAGAACAAGTGTAGAAATGTACATGGTGTAGAGTCATGAAGATTGAGTAATGAGCTGTCAGGTGTTGAAAGAGATTAGTCTGACGGAAATATTCGTGAATATGTTTAAATTTGTGAAAGTAGGAAGGGAAGAGAGGCGGAGAGTGACCAAGAAAAGTTTGGCATTATGATATTGAAGAAGTAATTTTATTTTTCTCATGACAATTAATTTCATGATATTAGGTTGTATGTATTCTCTATTAATTATATCTTATTTCAGTGGTTTTACAGTAAAGTATTTTTATTGTTTATATCCACAGTGCCAGATCCCTCAACCATTTTTGTGCTAAATGGCACTGATCTCATCTACAATGCCAGTTCCCCCAACAACACTGCTTACCTGCTCAGCCAGAATGATAACAGCCACATCACCAAAAACCTGGCATCCATTGTGGCAGGCAGCATTGTCGGAGCTATTGCCTTAATTGTTATGACAGTTTTTGTTTGCATCAAATGTATAAAGTATCGACAGAAACAACGACTGACCTATGGTAAGACCACCTGTACTTTTTCTGTTAACCTTCATTTTCTTTGTATTTTGCTTCATTTTGAAATAGCAATTTTAACAACCTGAGTTACAGTGTGAGTGACTTTTCTGTAAACAAAGTCTCAAACTTAGACTTGTTGTCATTTGATTGTAAACTGATAAATTGCTAGTTTTTTCTTTGTAATTGCTTTGTTATTATTTTGTTGGTTGTGTCTTTTGAGCAGTTCTCTTTTGAAGCTCACTTGTGAGTTTCGTAAGCTAGTCCAAGATTTTGAATAGGGCGTTTCTTCATTTTCATTGAGTTACACTTGGTTACATTGTAAATAGTGTGTATGTCCCATGTCGGATAAATGACATGTACAAATGTATATCTTATATTATATATCTTTACAAATTTAATTTAAATTAACAAAATAATTACATCGGTGTCATATTTTCTCTGTATTTAATAATTTTCCAGATATTTTAGCTTACAATAAATCATAATCAGTTATACATAAGTCAGGGGTCTCATTAATACATAGACTCATAAATGCAAGGACATTCTGCAATCAGTCCTACAACCTTCAGAACCAGATGAAAAAAAGAAAAGAGTTCTCAGTGAAGACCCTTACAGATGAAAATTATTTACATCTTTAGTCTTGGGTGTGTGATTTCTGTCTGTACACAGGTGAGATTTACCTGTCTCCTCACTATAAATCACTGGGGGTTGTCAAGTACTTAAGCTTACATCTAAACAAAATATAAATGATTATCAAGTGATTTTCAAAGTGATTAGGGGGCTGCGTGGTCTCGAGGCATGGTGTTCGCCTCGAGTGCTAGAGGTTTTGGGCTCAAATCCCGGTAAGGGCTGGGATTTTTTTCACGTGGACTTGAACTTCTAGTAGTTCCCTCTAGTTTCTGGGTAGTGAGATCAGACGCCCGTGTGCATCGTTGTGCACACACACACACAAAAACCTTGACAGTTGGAAATCGAAAAGAGTAGCCTAATGGCGCTGCCCGGGCGCAATCAGGAGTTAAAAATTTACCCAAAGTTATTTCAGGATCCTCGCCAGTGCTACAGAGCTTGTGCATTGTGCTGAGCTTCTTCAGACTCAGACATGAGTTAGAAGAAGAACAGAGCACTTATGGGTTACTACCTATATGCCAGGATGTTGATCCGTTGTTCAAAACCCTCAAACCCCAAACTCATAACCGAAAAATACAAATCTGCATATTTATATATATGTATAATTATAAATATAAACAATATAGCTTGTTTAATTTCTCTACGATTTAATAATTAACACCAGTAGAAGTAATGTATATGCATATATGTATACATGGTATGAATATGGTCTATGAAATCACAATAAAAGATGAAAATATAGTCATTTTTTAATAGGAATTTGTTGCACTTAGGCAACGTAGGCCTTTGTTGTATTATACTTATTTAGTGGAACAATCACTGAGTTATTTTCACAAACTCGTTTGCAAATATGATGACTTCATCTAAATAATAACCAGTATTTGTCTGCTCTTCAAACTAACATCGGCTACTGTTGAATTGATTATTAACCATTCATTCATACCTTAGGCATAATGCATAAATCACACATGTAACCAAACATCAAATCTTCTGCAGCATTCTGGGATATCTCAAAAATGAAGCAGAGGACACTTAGATATAAATATATGGGTAAAAATAAGCAGTAAATAATTTGCCATTCCACTTTGCTAACATTTGTGCAGAATTGCTAAATCTGAAATATTTTATCTCAACCCTTATGTAAACAGAGAAAACTTTTGATTCATTACCACCTGTTTGATTTTCTCAAATTCCCTTACCAGTCTGTCCTCTCATGCAGATTTGTATGCACGAGTGTTTCTTTTTCCTTGTATCTTAGCAAAGCTGCACTGACCTTGTTCATATCAAATGTGTGATCTCTGCTTTTGGTGACCCTTTGTTACAGTTTGTGATACTATCACCTTGTCTAGTCTGTGATTGTGTGTATGTATACCTGCATGGAATACCCATAATTTAATAATCATATCGGCAGTTATATCAGATCTAATTGCTTACATATAGCTTCTTCTTTTTCTCCTCCTCCTCCTTCTGTCATCCTCTCCTCCTCCTTCTGCTGCTACTGCTGCTGCTTTTGCCCTCAAAAGAATGGTTAGTATATTATTTTATAGTTTACAGCTAGGCTGTGATATATGCACTATATACTCAGTACGCCTAAAATAAAAAGTACAGAACCCTTTTCCACGCCTTCCGGAATTTTCTGGAAGTTATATGTGCAGACAGGAGTGAAGGAATTAGTCATTATAGTGTGTCCTGATATATATACAAACCGCTTTACATGCATGCAAGAGGATCTACTGTGTGGTTGGTTACCTTGACTTCTCTTTTACTTTTAAATAAAAGTGGTGTTAATCATTCAACGCAGTATTGACTACAGTCAGTCACTTCAGTTCTCAGTTATGTAATTTCCCACATCTATTAGTTATATTCAGGTGAGGAAGTGCAGTCTTCTTCTTTCATTTGCATGAAAAAAAGTATCTATATCTGCAATGTTGTCTCTAGTATGAACTTCACTGTCTTTTGTAAAGAAGTGCAGTGATCTTCTTTTTCTTCTTCTTCTTCTTCTTCTTCTTCTACTTCTTCTTCTTCTTCTTCTTCTTCTTCTTCTTCTTCTTCTTCTTCTTCTTCTTCTTCTTCTTCTTCTTCTTCTTCTTCTTCTTCTTCTTCTTCTTCTTCTTCTTCTTCTTCTTCTTCTTCTTCTTCTTCTTCTTCTTCTTCTTCTTCTTCTTCTTCTTCTTTTTCTTCTTCTTCTTCTTCTTCTTCTTCTTCTTCTTCTTCTTCTTCTTCTTCTTCTTCTTCTTCTTCTTCTTCTTCTTCTTCTTCTTCTTCTTCTTCTTCTTCTTCTTCTTCTTCTTCTTCTTCTTCATGTTCTTTGGGTTAAAACTGTTGTGGAAAGTTCTGGTATTTCATTCATTTCTGGACTTTATTTTGGTTCCAGGACTTGAGTTTGAGTGCACATTCATTTTACAGATCTGGCTTATTTGTGTGCAGACTGATTGTCCCTCACCTGTGAGCAGATGCACTCTGACTCCAAAGGAAACGCCCCTAATTAGTTTGCTTTATAGACATGTGGGGGGGGGGGAGGGGGGGGGGTTATTGTGAAAAGAAATTGCTTTTTAATGCCATTATTGAACTAACATTCACTCAAATATTATTAAACTAACGTTCACTCAAATATTATTGAACTAATATTTTTAAAAATATTATTGAATTAACATTCACTCAAGTATTATTGAAGTATCTGCACTGTCATTAGATCCTGTTTGTATTAACTGTTCTTGTTACTTTCAGAATATCATGCTTACTTTAATGCAGGCTATACAACACAAGTGGTAGGTGGAGATATTAGGTCATTTTTTTAAAATAATGGACTGGGTTTCTTGTACAGTTTAGTTTAGTTCACGTGCCCATTTTTTTTCTGTGTGTTGTCTGTCACCTTTAGGAAGAATAAGCTTTTGCTTTTTGTGTGTGTGTGAACACTTTAGGACCTTTGCTTGGCCTATTTTCATTTGTGTTGACTTGCTTGTTGGAAATACAAGATGTGATCTGTTTGTCATTGCATTGATGTTTGTTTTTGCTTGTGTTATGCAGTGCTTTGAGGGAGGGATATCAGTTTTAAAAATAAGTGGCTGTCACTGCATACATTTAGTTGGATGAATTGTTCAGGAAGTAAGAACATCACAGTTCAGACATAACTCTGTTGTTTGCTAGCAAGGGATTATGTTATTGGCACTGTCCTTTGTCTTCTAGACATTCTCTTCATCTTCAGTGCATACTAATCTAGCTACCTTAATGGACTTTTCTGTTCTCTTTCTTTTTGAACATTTAGTAGGATGTTTTACTTTCATTGTCTTTCTCCAGCCATCTCTGATAGTCTGGCTGTCCAAGATATATGCGACTTTTATTTTAAAATATCAAGTGTCAGATATTTAAGAAACCACATTAATCTCTTCTTGATTTGTTATGTTTTAAGATTCACTGCCAGACAGGAGCATTATTTTGGCATAACATGTCAGTACTCTCAGTCTGTCATTTAGTGAACCAGACATAATAGGCATAAATACATATGTATATGTATGCACACATATTTGTATTTGTGTCACAGAAAAATATCAGCATGAAGTGAATAATGTTGCATTTTCCTGAAACCTTTGACTTGGCACATCCGGTTTTTATAAACATTTCTGGTGGTTGGCTTTCCTGTTCGCAGTCTGGCTACAATAAGGCAAATTTGTGTTTGTCTGTCTGTTTCTTGAACTGTCCAACATGGAAGACCCTACCAGTAGTTATGTTATGCTACCATCAGCAAAACTGTTGAGATTCACGGTAACACTCCAGCCTTTGTACTACATTGAAGCGGAGACAGATCAGAGGGGAGACAAGACAAGATGTCTAAAATAAAGCCACTTTATTTGGTGTAAATGCGTCTGCCATACCTGTATTTTAAGTATAATGTGTAATAGAACAGTTACTGAGCTTGTATGACTCATAGGTTTTGAGGTTTTGAACAACGGATCAACATCATGACACACAGGTGTAAACCATAAGTGCTCCGTTCTTCTTTTAACTCAGGTCTGAATCCAAAGAAGTGCAGCACAGTGCATAGGCTTTGTAGCACCAGGGAGGATCCTGAAATACTTTGGATAGATTTTAAACTCCAAATTTTGCCTGGGCAGTGCCCGGGCAGCTACCACTTTCAATTTCCAAGGCATTTTTTTTATCTCACTACCAAGAGAGCAGGGGGAATTTGACAACATTGATAGGATTATCAATTCATTCCAAGTTGTAGAAACTAATGTTAGAAACCATCTGTTAGATGGATGCAGACTGTTGGTTCCTCACTTCTCTGGCAGATACACTTAGACTTCACTTGAAGACCCTAGTCACCTCCTACAACCTGTCTGAGGTGTTTACTCTCCTCTGTTATTCTTTTCTTGCGC